CTGAGGCGGAAGGATCGCCGGAGCCCAGCAGGTCGCGGCTGCGGTGGCCGGGAGCGGCCACTGCACTCCAGTCTGGGCGACTGAGTGAGACTCCAACTAAAAAAAAAAAAAAAAAATTAGGAAGTTAGATTTTTTTGGCCAGGAGACATAACCACAAGTTAACAGAGAAATACCCAAGATAGAGTGGTTATTAAAATTATGATGTAGTTAAAGTGATAGGAAATTATACACACATTAAAAATGTTTCCAAAGTGATTTTATAATATAGGAACATATATGGGCTGTTGAATAAGGCTATAAATTGTATGTACAACGTGATTTCTATTAAGTTAAGAAAAAGAATGAAAGGATATATGCTGAAATGTTAACAGTCACCTCTATAATTTTCTCCCTTGCTTTTTATACATTTCTAATTTTTTTCTATTTTCCTGTAATTCATGTTATTATTCTGATAATCAGAAAAAAGCAGTTTTAAAGAGGTGGAAAAGAGTTCCCTTTCTGGTAAAGATGGAGTAGCCTGTATCTTTGGGAATGCTTCTCTGATTATATTTAAAGCCTGTGAATATCCCTGATTTGGACTCCTGCTGCCCCCCATCCCCAAAAAAAGAGAAAAAGAAAAAAAAAACTATTTAAAAGCACAAGAGAGAGACCAAAAGTAGGTAGAAAGTGGAGAACTAAACCCTGAACAAGAAAATTGCAATGGGTAAGATTTGCATTTATAAAGTTTATAGCCTGGTGATTCCCCAGTTACCACAATGTGGGGCAGCTAAAACCCAAGCAAAAGACACAGTCCTAATGGCTTGAAAAGCCAGGAGAGTGTTCAGGTTGTCATACTGGCTAGAAAGTGAGGGGGAAATTTCTGAAAGGGAAGGAAAGAAACAAGGGAGATTGCACAAAATTTATGTATTAACTCCACCTAGATCTTTGGCTGATCTTGGACTCTAGCCTAGGCAGGGAAAAAACTACAAGAATCCAAACCAAAACCTGGAAAGCTGAAAGAAATGATCTCTCCAAGGAGAGATAATTTAGAGTATGCATCCAGACAAGTTAGCTGCCTGCTAAAATAAAAATCAACCCTTCAAAAGAAGACAACATAATCCAGAATCTCTATAACATATCAACCATAATGATGACTACACAACTGAAAAAATTACCAGACATGCAAAAAACAACAACAAAAACGCAGAAAAAGTTGACTAAGGGTTAAGAGAAACAGATCCGACCCCAAGATAGGCCTTTTGTTGGAATTAGTGATAACTAAAGGCAATGCAGGATCCAAAATGATATCTTGGAACAACAGAAAGGATATTAGTGGGAAAACTAGAGAAATATGAATAATGGAATTATACCAATGTTAGTTTCCTAGTTCTGATAATTATACTACTGTTATGAAAGATGCTGACTATGGATATATGGAAACTCTCTGCACTATTTTTGCATTTTTTTCTCAGTCTAAAACACTGAGATTACCAGACTGGACTTAAAAAGAATGACTGAACTATATGCTGTCTACAAGAAACTGATTTTTAAAATAGATTGCTCTAAAAGACTCTTCCAACTTCTTGTCTGATTTCCTACTTCAGATCCTCTGTAATCCTACTGAAAGTAATGATGGCGTAACTATGTAATAGTGCTAATTACAGGATCAACTGTGATCTGGAATAAGGAAAAAAAATTTCAGAGGCTGAGCATGGTGGTTCATGCCTGTAATTCCAGCACCTTGGAAGGCTGAGTTGGGAGGATCACCTAAGTCCAGGAGTTCAAGACCAGCCGAGGCAACATAGCAAGTCCTTGTATCTATAAAAAGTAAAAAATTAGACAGGCAGCGTGGCGTGTACCTGTAGTCCCAGCTGTTCAGAGGCTGAAGTGGAAGGATTGCATGAGCCTACAATGTTGAGGCTGTGGTGAGCCATGATCATGCCACTACACTTCAGTCTGGGCAATAGAGTCAGAACCCAACTCACAAAAGTATACTGTGATATATCAGTCTCTGACAACTTTTTTTTTTTTGAGTTAGAGTCTCACTCTGTCACCCAGGCTGGAATACAGTGGCATACTCACGGCCATCGCAGCCTCAACCTGCTGGGTTCAGGTGATTCTTCTGCCTCAGCCTTCCAGGTAGCTGGAACTCCAGGCAAACGCCACCAAGCCCGGCTAATTTAAAAAAAAAAATTTTATTGTAGAGATGAGGTCTCGCCAAGTTGCCCAGGCTGGTCTCAGACCCATAAGCTCAGCCAATTCTCTCACCTTGGCCTCCCAAAATGCTGTGATTATAGGCATGAGCCACTGTACTGAGAGACCGAAGAGATTCAAAAAAATTCTAAGAGAACTATTACTATATGAATCCCTACCCCACGTTCACTGTATTTGTTTGCAGTGTTTGTACTTAGAACTTTGTTAAGTTTAATTTTTGTTTGTCTCATAAAATAACCGATTGCTTCCGCAACTGCTGCTAGCAGTGTGTGAATGTTAAGCAATAAGCCCCTCCCGGACATTCCTTTGCTTAGATAACAGTAGACTGGTGGCACCAGCCACACACCCCCCTCCCCGTAGGTTCTGCGTTGTTTAACCTCCTGCCTGCTTGCTAAACCTAGCTTATCTGACATTCCACCCTGCCCATTTAGCAGCTCCCCGTCAATCACAGGTAGCTGAGCAGACCAGACCAATCCCAAGTGCCCCTGTACCCATTAGGAGAAATTACCCAATCATGTAAAAACAAGTTTAATGTTCTTTCCCCTCCCTCTGTAATTGTGCATAAAAACTGCTTGCCATACTGGATCGGTGTTCTCGTCCCTGAAGCTGCTGCGGCTTCAAACGTGAGCCCAGACTTGAGCCTGAATAAAGACCCTTGTGTGTTTGCATCAGAGCTGGCTCTTTGGTGGTCTCTTGGATTTTGAATTTTGGGTTTAACAGTACCTGACTCTGACAACTTTTTGGCTTACTTAAAAGCTAATGTCAAATTTGTATTATAACATGCTTTTAAGTGACCAAAAACCTCTTTACTATGATGGTAAATCCTGACCGCCTCAGAAAAATATTAAAAACAATTGCTATACAGCTCAAAGATGCAACTCAATACAAGACATGCTTGCCCTATGCTGCTCATAATAGGTTTAACCTAATTTAAGAAAACTTTAACACACTTCCATTTTGAGAATACAGTAAAACCAAATAACTTGAGAAACGATTTGCTATAAACCCTAGAATGCCAGGTTAAACATAATAAACTTTTAAAAATATGTATTCCTGAGTAGGAAGGAAAATAAAGGAATTCCCTAGAGGCCAGAAACAAAGAAGGTAATAAAGGCAAAGCAGTGGTTATAAGAGTGGACACCGTAGCTGCCTTTGGAGGACTCTTTATCCTAGTGACACAGGGGCTTGGAACTTAATACTTCTTTAATACTGTGACTTTTGTTTGAGTTTTAGCTGCCCCACACTGCGACTGGGGAAGCCCCAGACTGTAAACTTTATAGATACAAATCTCACCCAGTACAGTATTCTTCTTTCAAGGGTAAGTTCTCCACTTTCTACCTACTTTTGGTCTCTCACACCTCTCCCCTGCTCTAGTTCTACTTCAGGACTATTCAAAAGGCTACAATCTTGGTGTAAAAGTGAACTAAAACAATTTACCTATCATAAAAAAGAGATAACATACAAGTTCCTCTGTATTCATGTGGGCTCTGGGTAGTCAAGAAGATAAAGAAATTTGCTTTCCTAAGAATTTATAACCACAGACCTGACATTAACTGGATTTGCTTTTTTAAATTTTAACTGAAAATACAAAGATTTCCCAATCAGAACATTTATCATAAAGAATTGCCCTCTTTGAGACCTGCCTGGGCAACTTGGCAAGACCTCATCGCTACAATAAATAAAAAAAATCAGCTGGGCATGGTAGCGCGTGCCTGTAATTCCGGCTACTTGGAAGGCTGAGGTGGAAGGATCGCCGGAGCCCAGCAGGTCAAGGCTGCAGTGGCCGGGAGTGGCCACTGCACTCCAGTCTGGGTGACAGAGTGAGACTCCAACTCAAAAAAAAAAAAGAAAAGAAAAAGAAAAAAAGAATTGCCCTCTATCTGTGATAGCCCTGGGTACTAGCAAAAGCAAACAAAAAGTTTCTCAGAATGGGCACACCCTCAACCTAGGCAACAGCAAAGTTCCCACAGATAAAGTTTAAACAGACATATGCTTTCAATCCAAAAGATACAAAACTCATTAAAAAAAAGAAAATGTCTAAGAGTGGTGGCTCATGCCTGTAATAACCAGCACTTTGGGAGGTCAAGGCAAGAGGATCACTTCAGCCCAGGAGTTCAAGACCAGTCTGGGCAACATAGCAAGACCTCATCTCAGTAAAAAATAAAAAAATTAGTTGGGCATGGTGGCATGCGCTTGTAGCTTCAGTTACATGGGAGGCTGAGGTCGAAGGATCAACTAAAATAAGAAGATTGAGGCTACAGTGAGCCATGATCATGCCACTGAACTTCAACCTGGGCGACAGAGACCCTGACTCAAAACAAAAAACAAACAAATAAAACCCCAAACCTACTGTGAATAAGGATCAACATAAATAGAGATGTACTCTCCTCCCAAGGAACTCAGATAATAACATGGAAACTATAAGTCAAAAGTTGAAAATTGATACATTTTAAAAATAAGAACATGACACTAGTGTAAAAGCACACAGACTTACAACAGATAAAATACATCTGAAGAGAATTAGTGAACTGAAATACAGATCTGAGGAAATCACTCAGAATGGAGCACACAGAGAAAGAAAATATGAAAGGCTAAGAGACAAGCAGGAAAGAATGTCAAGTTCCAACAAATTTCCAATAGGAATTGCACAGAAAAAGAAATAGATCATGTAGAGAAACAATATTTGAATAGATACTGGCTGAAAATATTCCAGAACTGATGCGAAAAGTTAAGCTATTTCTTAATGAAAAATTATGTACCGAGGAATTAAATCTTAGAAACTAAGTATCAAAATTTTACAAACTCACATGATTAAATCTTCTTGTGAAGGCAACTGCATTTGGCGCAGAACTATATTTTTCTTTCTTATTCCATCCACAACTTGAAAGCTCCTAGAAAATTAGGATGAGAATTAAATATATATTTAAGAAATATCCCAGTTTTCTTGTCATATTAAGGGTTTCAACACATTAAAGACAGATAGCACTCTTTTCTAGAACCACTTTATTTAACAGAAACATATCTAATATTATACCTATTTAGTTAAATCACAAAAGCAAATGTGATTAGTAGAATACAAGAGAACAAAATTACTTATCTATGAGGATACAGATAAACTTATGATCCACAGGTGGAATACAGTTGGATTATTCTCTAAAAAGATTTAATCTCCAAATGGAAGAGTCACAAATAACTCAAGCTGAGCATCCCACAAAACACAGTGAAGACTACTAGTTGTCAAGCTCTACTCAGTCAGTCAGAGCTCCCCGTCAACTTTTTGGTATCTCACTCTTTGAGCTGACAATCAATGACCCAGATATTTGAAGAAGCCTTTAATAAAAAGGTTCCTGATCCTCTAAAGAGTCTGTCAATCAAATTCAAAGGGCCCCAAAACTTGGATATTAAAAAAATTAATTTTTATTTTACACTAATCTCTAACTGAAATAAGATATTTCTTTGAATTATGAACGTAGGCTACAGATTGGTCTCCATTCTAAAGAACCTTATAACTAGAAAATGTAATTAGAAAGCATGAAAAAATAAACAGGGTTGTAGTTTTTTAAAAAATTTCATAAGATGTTAGTTTTGTCTTTATTGAGAGGGCAGAAAAGCTCCCACAGTGGGAGGGGATCCGAAGGGGTTGCCCAGTGGTTAGTTTTTGCATTAGAAAACTTTTCCCTCCATAAAACAATGTTACATTACTAATCTATCTAATATAACAACAAACAAAACTATACTTGACCCTTGCACGGGAGGGTTAAGGGCATCAACCCCCAGCATTCGAAAATTCACTTATAACTTCTGACTACCCAAAAACTTGAACTACTACTAGTCTACTGTTGACCAGCCTTACTAATAACATGAACAGTCAGTTAACACATGTTGTATATATATATGCTATATTCTTGCAATAAAGCAAGTTAGAGAAAAGAAAACACTATTAAGAAAATCATAAGGAAGAGAAAATATATTTACAGTACTGTATTCACAGCATAAGTTTATGTTGCCTGGTTATAAGATAAATCATCTGTCTGAACTGGTAGCATTTGTAGCTACAAACCTCAATCTATGATACGTATAAAGCAATTCAACTTTTTTGTAATATCATGATTTGGCTCTGCTTCTTGGAGCACTTTCAGCATCACTAGAGGCACTTCACATGGGTCCCATGTATTATTCAAGGTTTACGGGTATTACACTAAGCATGATGGAAATACACGAGAACTTCAAGAGATGGTTTTTTACTGTGATACATAGTTTATTGGAGATGATCCACTCATGTGCAGATAATTAGCATCCCAGCATGTTTTAAATGGATACTTGCAACACTTGAGCCCAACGCCATAGCAACAGGAGGTGGCTATGAAATTACTACAGAAGAGTATGTATTGTAGGTAACTTTACATAGTCTTCTTTTAATATTGCATTTTGAAGTTTGTTTACATCTCTCAACCACAAATGGCAGCATGTACAGTCTGTGTATGTGTACGTACATTTTGATAAAGTCTAACTTTTCATAGTAGATTTGTGTATATTTATGGTAGTAAATGATAAAATAGACTAGAATCTACATATTTTATGCATTCATGACTTACCTTTTTCTTAACTTTTAAAACAATTTCTAGGCTGTGCAGCCTGTCTGCAAGTTTTTTCACACCGTTAAAAACCTCTAAAAAATTTCCAAATAATTTATTGAAAAAAGTCTGCATATGGATTTATGCAGTTCAAGCCCATGTTGTCCAAAGGCCAAATGTATCAAGATGGGGAACAAACTAGTGGCTGCCAGGGTTAAGGATGGTGAGGAGTGGGGGAGGAGTAGTGGGTTGGGTTGTGGCTATGAAGGGAGAGCGCAGGGAGAGAGCTTTGTGGTGATGGACAGTCCTCTGTCTTGACAGAGATGGGAGTTAGACACATCTACATATACGATAAGATGTCACAGACCTACACAGACATGCATGTAAAAGCATCAACTTCTTGGTTTGGATATTGTACTGTAGTTACAGAAGATGTAACTGCTGAGAAAAACTGGGGAAGTGTAAGTGGGACTTCTCTGCACTATTTTTGCAACTTCCTATGAGCCTCTAATTATCTCTGTACTATTTTATTGCAACTTCCTGTGAGTCTATTATTATCTCAAAATAAAAGTTAAAGAACACAGTGAAAACAAAAATCTACCTCATGAATTATGAGTTAAAACTGGACTGGGACTCCAGGAACCCACTCACTACTTTCTTCTTAGATCTTGGCATGCATTTACGGTTACCTGGCTTTAAAGGAATTTTGTACTGCCCCACCTCCACCTCTCAACAGCCACTACATTTTTCTGTGAGAAAAATGTTGCTTTTCTCTTTGCCTGCATCTCTTTTTATCTTCCTTCAAGTCACACTAGAATACAATCCAAGAAATAAATACTGCCACAAGTGCCATCTTGTATATCAGCCTGGTCAAAAGTTATTCTACACTGAAACATCTCACATGAACACTAAAATTGAACTTAATGACTTAAGAGATGCATTTTTTTTAAAGAGTCTGACTTAGTAGCCAGGCTCGGTGGCTTAGCCTATAATCCTGCGTTTTGGGAGGCTGAGGTGAGTGGATTGCCTGAGCACGCGGGTTCGAGACCCGCCTGGGCAACTTGGCAAGACTACAGCTTTACAATAAATCAAAAAACTAGCCGGGCGTGGTAGCGCATGCCTGTAGTTCCAGATACTTGGAAGGCTGAGGCGGAAGGATCACCGGAGCCCAGCAGGTTGAGGCTGCAGTGGCCAGGAGCGGCCACTGCCCTCTAGTCTGGGTGACAGAGTGAAACTCCAACTCAAAAATAAATAAACAAATAAAAAAACAAATAAATAAATGAAGAGTCTGACTTAACAATAGGACTGCTTTGAATATACTAAGTAAACAAGCTTGCTTTTTAGCAAAGGCTAAATGAAATTCAGCAGTCTTGACATCCCTTAAAAAATTGTTCAATAGATTTAACTTGCAATTTTAAAATCAGGCAGTAAAGAGAAATATTCCAACAGTATCTCACATATATAAAGGCAATTTCTTAATGATCATTAAAAGTATGATTGAAAGAATATTCATGGATTCATTTTGAACCATGAAAACAATAAACCCACTTTTTACTTGCATTTATTCTGGAAGCACATGGGAAGGCAAACCCCCCAGGTGATGACCACCTACCCTATGAAAGAATTACTGAATTCACAGGAGTCACAGCTTCTCTTAAGTCTTGTAGGTTTGCTCTGTAAAGTGAAATTCTTGATCTAAATTTCATCTTGTAGCTTCCAACACTCTTAAAAGGACTGTTCTAAGGGTGATGTTGTAGGAATACCTACAGACAGAAGAAGAGAAAAGGCCAATATAGACCAGCATGTAGACAGAGACTGAGGGAGAAAAAGAAAAAGCTTTGGACTCTGTAAAGGCCTCAGGTGAGGAATGGGGTGGGAATCTTCACAAGGAGAATTAGTGCTGAGGTATCTCTGTGCTCAAAGTGTAAAGCTTTAAAGAAATATGGTATATCCGTTAGCACTCAGTCCAACACAGCTATTTAGAAAGAAGTCTCAGGCTCAGATGAAGTGCTCGCCACTATTCCAATGTTTTTAATCCACAAAATAAGCTTTGAAACTATGTAATGCCAATGAATTAAGAAGAATCAACACCACTCTTTCTATTTTCTAATGTACTCACATCCTCTTTTCTTCCTCCCTCCCAATACATTAAAGCCTTTATAGTGAGATCAGAGCTCTCTTCCCCTTTCACTGATGCTATATATACCTATACTCCCAAACAGCAATTTTCTTCTTTACCTTTTCTAATCTTCATCTGAGCTTTACCTTACCATGTGTTAAGAAAGTTCATGGTGATGAACAGCAATACTATGAACCGACAAAACAGGTTTATCTTGCTTCTAAAAGAGCAATTAGTTTATTCCAGCCTACAGGAAAAATTTCAAGACTACATGTCTTCCTTGGTTTCTTCAAATTCCTCGCTATGTTCATGGATTGTTTATAATTTAATTTTAATGCAAATGATACCTTTCATTAAAACAAACAACTGTTATTACGGATGTTGGAACCTGTATGTTTCCAAGATTATAATCTCTTGACACAAAACAAAGTATGTATGGAGAAAGCGCTTTATATATATCGTCAAAAATATCTCAATTGCTAAGTTTTTCAGCATTTTTAATGAGATTCAGAATTACCTGTGCTGCACTTTCCCTCATCTGCACTTTCCCTTATTTAACCAGCACGTTTCCTTGATTTCCAGTGAATCGCACTTAAACAGAAGGGCCTCATTATTCCTCATACTTAATGTCTGTTTGTTGATACAATCTAAATGACTGACTTACTGTATTGATCTACTAGGACAAATAAAGTGTGACATTTTCTTCGTTGACTGTAATGTATGTCAGAAGACTTTCAGGCAGAGCCCATCACTTTATGAACACTTGAGAACCTTATAAGAGAGGCAAATATTACCCAATGTAATAGCCATAGTACAGATTTCAAGCATAGTTCATCCCTTACTCAAGATTTGCTACTGGAGAGAAAACTGGATAGTGTACCTTGTGCTGAATAGCACGCAACTCATTTTAAAGAAAAATACATTAGTGTAATGAGCATGGCAATGCCTTCAAAAGAAATGCAAGCCTTGTAAGAGCATGAGAGAATTTGTAACAGACAAAAAACTAAAATAAAAATCTTATGAATGTAATAACATGGAAAAACAGTCAGTGCTTCCTCAACATGAAAGAGCTCACACTGGAAAGAAACCCTATATATAAATGTGTAAGATTCTTCTAAAAGAAAACAAAACTTCATGGTCAAAAAGGACATCATGCTGAGGATATCTATGTAGATAATGTGGAAAACTTTAATAAGAG